TTGCTATTCAAAGCGATATTCAAAGGCTTCCAGGTTTCTGCACACATTCAGTTGGACTGTTCATCTAAAGACACAAGTTAAAACTGTGATTACTTAGCCTTTTAAATATTGGAATGAATCTGTGCCAGGGTAGGGAAGGGAGGAAGCTTTGACAAATGAATTTTAGAACAATAAACCACATGGATTACAAATATATAATCTTTATTTTAGTGTTTATTTAAATAGCTAACCATAAAAATAAATAAAACAGGGAGGTTCACATAAAGTGCACTGACTCAGAACAATTGTAAAAGCTTTTATATCAGGGCCTGCTGCAGCCTCAGGATGAACAATAAAATACAGAAGCCGTTACATGAGTAGGAAAAATGTACAGTTTGCTGCCTGTTGAACCTTGGGGTTTGGGACCCCAAGGAGGGGTCATTTTAGTTAATTTCCAGGCGTCACCGAATGCGTTTGTAGAGAAGTTAAAATTAAGATATTGTGACATCCACGTGGAAATGGACGGAGAGATGAGGCTTTAGAAGTCCATCATAACCAGCAGTTGGATGGCGCAAGTGGCTGCGGTCAAAAGATGATTCCATCGTTCATTGTTTACTGTGCAAGATAGATAGAGTTTAGTTGTAACTCACCTCTGTTGGTGCACCCCTGTTAATTTAAGAAATTCATGAATCACAACTTAATTAGCAACAATTTACTTTAATTTAGCGCAATTTTGAAGTTACAAAGCTGGTTTTCCTTCCCATTCCAGAAAAAATCTAAATGAACGAAGTGAAAAGATGTGGTTGGGGGCTGTCATGTCATTGTTAGTTTCATCCGGTGAAGTGATTGATTGAGGGTTTTGGTTTGATTGTTGGGCCTGAGGGAGTCTTTTTTAATAAAAGTCTTTCTGTGTTTTGGGTGAAAGTTTTCCAGCTCAGACAAGATGTGATTCTGCAGCCCAAAGTTATACTTAATGATTATAATTGGGGAGCATTTGATCTCCACAAAAGAAGCTGGTTAAGGAATTCAAGGGCAAGTGTTTGGTTGATGAAAAAATGTGCTGACTTAACAGGCAGGCGAGAGGCAGCCTCGCGGGGTGGGCGAGATGATGGTTAGGTTTATTGTGCACATGTTGTACTATCTGTGATTATTTGGCTGTGTGCACAAGTTGACCCATATATCCTTTCCAGCTGCTTTGTTTGGAGTTCTATCAATGTCTTTATGCTGGTTCTCTACATCCTGTTTTATTGAAATGTAACTCAGATTAACTTTCTGTTTCATTTACATAAAAGGCAAATGAACTTACAAGGTTGGAGTTGATTCTTCGCAACTCAAGTTTTGAAAGCAAGATGGATTACAGGGATGAGAAGTGGATTGATTAACTGGCATACTCCAGCTAAAACATCATCAGCAAACAGTGAAACACGTCCAAGGAACATTCAACACTTACTGACGCATGAAATCATAACTTTTAAT